GCTGGGCTCTATCGAGCTGGGCTCTATCGAGCTGGAGAGCGAATCAAGTGACTAGGCAGGGGATCATGACTGGGATCAGCCGAAGCACTGTTGGGAAGAAGGGAACTAGGCTGGGGTGGTAATGAACTGGGGATCGGGGAATCAGAGCTAAAGAAAGGCGGAAAGGAATTTTCAGACGGGGTAACTGAACTGGGCTCGGCGGAGTTGCTATTTGGCAGGATGAAACTGGATTCGGGCAGCAGTGAACTGGGAAAAGGGAAACCAGAGCTAGGGAGTGGCTCAGAAGAGGATCCTGTGGCTGATGTGAAGAAGGAGCCAATAATGGATGACGAGGGCATCGAGTTTGTTCGCGAAGCAGATATATCCGCGCTCTTGCTTTCCATGGCATCCTGCGAGTTACTGAAGGTCGATTCGATTGGTAGCCAAGAGTTAGAAGGAGCCTCAGATCCGGAGGCAGGTGAAGTAAAGGCAGCTGTTGTCGAAGTTCCTGGTGTGGCCTCACTTTTCAAGGTTGTTACCCGGCCGATATTGGTTGGGTACGGCACGAACTTGTCGTGAGAATCAGACTGCCACGGCACCCATGGCGGTGGGTAAGGCCAATTTGTAGGCCAGCCTCCGCCAGGGTGCTGCGATGTTGTGTGTACAGACTGTGAGCCATCCTTCTTATTTTGTTCATCATCAGGGGCGTCGGTCGGTGTGTAAATGACTATGGTGCCAGGATCTGTTCCTGTTGGGGCAAACGTGACTGTTGTCGGAACTGGTCCTTCGTACCCTTCGTGGACCAGAATGTATGGTGGCCGAGCATGGAAAACTAATGTGCTGGACAATATACATGAGTATATTACAATGCAGCTCAAGTAACTTCTAGGCCTCACTTACCGGACGACAGATGTGGTGCGCGTGAATGTCGCATCATCAGTGCAGGAGATAATTTCGACGTTTTGCGTCTCCGTAACTGTCAAATGAGTTTCAAGGCCACAGCCTTCCTCAAAAGAGGCCACCAGTACTGGCCAGGCGGTGAGTGAGCCTACCACAGCTGGAGAGAGAAACTTCATGCTGGTGCTGGAGATCAGACGTGAAAGTGGCCGACAGCGACAGTGCCAGACGCAAAAGTCTGCGGGCTGTTTCGAGAGTCTTATAATAGTCTCAGACTCTCTGGCTCTCTTCTGAACATCTGTTATACCATATGTCAACTCCGTATCGCCACGCCATGGGGCATGCTGATATGATTCAGCCTGCTGCCCATGCAGGACATGTAAGGTTTCAGACCCCTCCAGACGAGTGCACTCGCGGACTTCCACCCTTGCCCAGATTAAGTTGCCGCGTCCGCTACGTGAGTTTAGATCCGACCAATCCAGATGAAAGAGGAAAGATCAAAGATCTATAAATCCGGGGCCGCTAATGAATCGAGTGGTGCAGTCTTTCACATTCCTTTACTGTTCATGTACATCCTGGGGAGGACAGGTCATAACGCTATTCCTGTCGTAGCTATTCAAGGTCTCGTCACGAATTGGGCATAATGAAAGTTGTTCGTTATCAGTACACAGCCCGGCGCGTAAGCAAATCGCGTGATGCAAGATTCCAGTGGCAATAATCGCAGCCTTAGTCAAGTAGCAGCCAAGCAAAAGAAGAAGTTCCAGAGGGCATGTCCGTCGTATGGGTGAACATAGCGAATACTTGGGCTTCCTTTCGCGGGCTTCCTTTCAGGATAGTACGCGATGAGTCAGTAGCCGGAAGACTAGAGGAATAGTGAGGTGAATGGGTCAAGCAGCCGAGCTTCGTGGAAACCCCGTCAACAACTGCTTTTATGCAGGGCACTGTGCAGCACCAGTGTATCTGCTCTCATGCATGAAGTCAGCTTTTTCACGCGTCAAGTCAATAACTACCCGAGCAGGCATGGGCTAATTGGTCAGTAGGGCCGAAGCAGGTGAAGAGAAAGATTACTCCAAGGAATGCTGCCGCAGAAAGCGGCAGGTCTATGCCTCATAGCGGCCAGTCTACCGAACAATGCTAATGATTCGAAGCATGTTATGGAAACAGTTGAGAGACAATGCTTGTGGTGCACATCGCAAGCTTGCTGGCTTCTTCCGCTCGCACAGCTCCACGTGTGCTACATTTTTTGACTTGAGTAATAGGTAAATTATATACCTCCGTGATAAGGGTCACATCTCGAGTCGAACTGGCGCCTAAGGTCGATCTTCGATCCCTCGTTGTCTCACAGGCGGTGATACAATGAGACATAGCGAACGAGCACCCGGTTCTCGGGAAGATCGCAGCCCTACAAAGATTCAACCTTGTCGAGTCATAGTCAGACCTCGGCGTACATGGGATATTTTTCAATCAAGTCAGATGCTGCACTAGGCAATATAGTGGCTGCACTTGGTGGATTATTGCGTTGCATGCAGGCTCGGCTTCTCCGGGTCGAGGCCCTTCTTCATCAGGACAATTGTTTCACAAGCGGAATTTGACTCTTCTTGTGTTTTCCAGCAGCGGAACAATAACTCGGCGCAGATCTTCATCGCTCGCCCCCTGAAAGTCTGAGACCATGCATTCTTCCGCGGCCGTGGTCAACAACAACGGGCTTGTGACCCACCCCTGCCCATCCACTCAGTCCGATATCAGGCTCGATACGTCCTAGCTGTTCGCTCCCTGCGTTGATATCCGCAAACAGATGGGATTGGGATTATTCTCTTTCAAGAAAAAAGATACAAAAAGTACCACGATCATTTTGATGGATTTATTTCATGCGTTCGGTCGAATGCATGCTCACACATGGTGTTGCGTTTCAAGCTCCATTCGATCATAGGAGCCCGATGTGGTAAACCCGGGCCCTGTTGAGACCCTTGTCTCTACCACCGTGCCCAGAGCATTCCAACCAAATCTGGAAATTGCTGTCCAGCTGAGGTTCCCGCGATTGGCGTTGAGTCTATGTAATTAATTAGACATAACGATAGCGCTGTTTGGACCGACAACCGTGACGCAACAAGCTTCAGCATCACTCGGCATCGTTCTTCGTAAGAAAGCATAGTGGTCATTCATGCATCATCCGCGCGCGTGCGAAGCATACACCGAGCTTGCTGAGCAGGTGTCTTCGAGCGTGGCTGCCAGAGACATCCCGTGGCTACGCAGCCCGCCGGTCTCATGGGCCATTTCCCACGGGCCTCGAGCATGTTCGCAGACATTCGGCCACTTCCAAATGGTCGCAGCACTGCCACAAATCCCAGCTGCTCCGGATAATTTAGCCAATATAAAACCAACTTTTATGGGAGCTGAATCCTTACAACACGGGGGAGAAAAGCCGGCTGCCGAGCAAAGCCAGTCCTTACCGTATACAACGATGTGTAAGGTTAAAATTCTGCTGTTCCTAGCTCCAATGTCAACATTCGACTACGAGATGGTGATGGATACCCATTATGGCGTATGCCGACATTCTCAGTCGTCTACGTAGCTATCTGTATCTTGTTTTTGTGGTTGGGATGTATTTACTAGCGAGTCAAACGCATCCATGGTTTTGGCAAAGAAATAGGTCAAAGAAGTCCGATTAGCCTCTGTTCATCACTTTACGAGCTTTGATAGCCATGGTTTACATTCAGTCATATATTATGCCATTGAAAGCCTTATTCGAAGTTGAAGTTTGTGCATTGAATTGGACATACTGAATGTGTACAGCTTTATCCCCACACTAGATGATTGGACTCCCACAAGTTTCCCACGCAGACAAATTTGTGAAAAATTCATCAGTAATCCAGTAAGGATGCGTTAAACTAGAACAGAGCCAACGGGTTGATAGAGTTGGGGTCTCTGGCCTGGACGACGTCCCAATGCTCGACGATGCAGGTTCCATTGAACCTAAAAATGTCGACAATCGCAGTTGGCTGCGCAACGCCATCGATGTCCAAGCGAGAATGGATGAATGCCAAGTTGTTTTCGAAGCCCTGTCGCAGGACGGTCAGGTTGACGCCGGGCAAAGACAGGAACGGCACAAGAGCGTCTAGTGCGTTTTGGCGGCCCGACAGTGCTCCAGGATTGTGCTGGATGTAGTCTTCCGCGATGTGATTGAGTATGGCCTTTGTAGCGTTTTGCTCTACGAAGAAGGCTTCCACAAAGTCTGCTAAGATGGCGCGCTGCTGCCACGGATTCGCGCTTTGAGGGGGGCAGTTAGGCTTGGGTGAAAATAGTTTGAAAGAAGGGCTAGCGCTGGCCGTGATGCCAAGGCAGCTTGCAGAGAAGGCGATCAGAGCAGAGACACGCATGTTTGTGGTTTTGCGCTAGCTTAAGGTGAAGTGCGGTTTGTAGTGTGGACTCAGGCTACTGCTATGAGAGTACTTGAAATGTTCAACCGTAGACAGATGCAAGACGGCTCCTTTATGAGCTATTGTCCACGCATTGAAGACGATCCAGAACAAGGTGAGGCTTGGCCAAGCCCCTCTGTCGTCGTAATTCAGAAGATGCAAAAGGTCGCATCATTTCCGGCGAAATGCTGGACTTGAGAGAATCTCGGCAGTTTGTCGATGTATGCCTCTCATTCTTCGGGCTTTTCGACACAGCATTACTTCCCTGATAAGATCTGTCAGCTCAGGCGATCTAGGTACAGCATGACGACACTGACAAGTATCCCCACCCTCTCGACATCGCCTCGAACCTTAATAAATGAAAGTGACTCTTGGCGCAGGTCCGCGGCACAGGAGCTTGATTGCAAGGATCGAATCGCTGAAATGGTTCCACAACACTCGATGTTTCAAGATGGCCTACGCAAGCTTCTCGGCACTTTGTTCACGCTAGCCGAGGTCTTGGTGGCGTTCGACGTTGATGCAGTAGGTCAGACTGAAGTATCAATTGCGATGCCCTTCTTCCGCGCCATCATCGCCAACAAGCTTCACAAACAGCATCGCCATAATCTGTAGCAGCTTTCAAAGGCACCAAGAAGTTGGCTGACGGATGCAGGAAAACTGAGCCACCTAGCTGGAGTTCTGGGGGTCGGTCGAGTTGTCCAGTCGCAAAGTGAGATGTTCCTGGGTTTCAGAATGCATATGGCGCCTGTACCGAGGTGGCTGGCGATGTGACCAGACTAGATATGCCACTGGGCCTACATCATTCGACTTTTGCGTTCACTTAGCCCCTGGGAAGTTTTTCGCAGCTTTCACCCCACCATGATGGACACAGTAAGGACGGTTGTGGGGCTCGTTAGCCGCATCGCATGTCGTATTACAAAGCCTCCACAGGATAGATGTGAACATCGGGAGCAAAATACTTGCGTAGATTGAGAAAGTACAGCACGACTGGAGACGAAAGAGGCAGGAGGCCGGGACTTGTGCCCGACGGGGATGATCGATCTGTAGTATGCTGGTTCCTGCATGGTCTGGTGTCGTGCTTAGGACTTAGAGTTCATCTCAAATGCGGGCGAGTACTTGCAGGTCTGGGATTGATGCCCGGAACATGACCTGTCACATTTGATGAGAACATGATCTTGTTGCCTATCCGGGAAGCATGCCTACGGTAGTCAATCTTCATGTCTTTCCATTCGACAGTTACTCTACAATCGGACAGTGATGCCAATACCGTATGACCACGCCCAAAATGAGATGATTCGTCACGCCGATGATATGCTGCTTGTGCGCTTCACTCAAGTTACATGATATATCGGCCTTAAATTCGAGCTTCTCTGTCTACGGGCGAGTCATGGCTGCCGGCAGGATACGTGGACTGGGGTATACGAGTTCATACTACTATTATATACAACACAGTAAAGCACGACCTTGCTGGAGAAGTGCTCAGAATCATCCTACAGCTATCATAGAAACGAGATTGATTCTCTCGTGGTCCAGAACGTGAAACCTGAGGAGTCGGAATGGAACTCTTAGCTGGCCGCGGTGAAACCAATATTTCATCTCTATGTCATGACTTATTACTTTGGGTCCCCAGGGGGTAAGAATCGTTTTTCACCCTCTGCTGCGTCCGAGATCACATTTGCATGGATATGAAAGAGGAACATGAATGCGCGGGCTGTTCATGAAATGCAACATCGTTGGAACCGAAGGACCTTCAGAGGCAAGGCATATAACCTGACCAAGTCCTTATGAAGTTCGCGGCTTTACCACACTTATTCCGCAGCATTGCTTCGCCATCTTTTACAAGTTGTCGGCTGTGCATTGTGGAAGGTTTATTTCTAGAAAGGACGCGTGTGTCGTGAGCCTCCTTACAGGTTGGTGAGTAATCTAGCTGAGGACCAATTCGAGATTCAAGTCCTGCTAATACTAGTCGCCCGTTCGGACATGATGGGGGGATTCTGGAGGGGCGCAGACCTTGCCCAACCCTCTGATACACCCTGCACGCACTTGATATCGTCAGGGGTAGGCCTACCACTGATTGCGCGTTCGAATCTGTCGGCGTTCGCCGACTTGGATGCGTTGCTTAGTTTCCCCATGCCATTGAGCATCATACTTCTCAAGAAGCTTCCGACAGAGGGCCCACCTGCGCCCCGCGTAAAATAACCGAGCAATTTCTTGAGCTCCGTGGGGGGCGGCGTGCCCGGCTTCAGGGTCGACGCAAGGTAAGAGAGCGCGATACCAAGTGGCAGGGGGACGAGTTGCACGCTGAAAATGCCAGAACTGGGCTGGAAGAAGATCTCGAGGATGTCGGCAATGGCAGCGCAGTAAGAGTTGAGGTTCATGCGCTCTGGTAAGGTAGTAATGTCTAGCGGAGATGTCGGATTGAATGTCAGAACGAGAATGAGCGTGGAATACGTGAGCAAGCAAGCGGTCCAATACAGGCTCATAGACATGGCAACCGCAGTGTCTTCTGGGGTGGGCTCCTTGTATTCACGTTCCTTGAGGGCTTCGAGATGGGCTCGGGGACTTTGCTCCTCGAACCATGAGACCAATCTCTCGTCTGTACGCCAGCAATCGGCAACCAGCCGTGCGTAGAGCAACGGTCTCAACGCCGCATCGTCACACAGCGCCAGGGCATCAAGGTCCTCTAGAAGACCGGGGATATCCACGAAGATGTCCAGAAGCAGGTCTTTGGGCACCTTGGCCGCATTCGTCCACGGGATGGTCTTCCACTCGGGAGAGCTGAGGAAGTTGCGGCTCCGG